CGTTATCAAGGTGAGTGTGAGGGCCGTTTTGGCGTTTTGTAGTCAATACTCGTCATGATCGTATGTTCATCATAGAAAGCACCGATCCTGAATAAGAATAGGTATGAATCAGGCGAAGGTGGTGTAGTGACAAGTGGCGCGCTTACCACTCGCGCGGTCCTGGGTTCGAATCCCGGGTCGACTCCCGCCCAGGCCAACCAAGCCTTCTATCCTCCGGGGACGGTAAATTGGTACCAGATTCGTCTGGGAGGATAAAACACTGACTTGTACATCGGCTGGCCCCCGCAAGTCATTGTATAGGCCACATCGCATTCAGCCACTACGATTCTGAATGGAAGTAGAATGCGTGCCGCATCCCACAAAGGGATTGATCAACGGCGAAGACTTTATCCTTTACGAACTTTTGTCGCTGATCGATCCTTTTTTAAATTGTGGTACGTGTTCTCCATCCAGAATCTTAGTGGCTCATTGAATGCGATATGGCGAGTACAATGACTTGCGGATGATAGCCAATGTGCTGGTCACTGTTTTTATCCTCATAGAATCTGGTACGTATGTACTGTACCTGGAGGGTGGAAGGGATTGGTTGGCCTGGACTGGGCGGGCGGGGGCAATCCGTGATTTGACCAATGGACCGCACCTGGGGTAGGCGTAACAGTTGCCACTACACCACTTCCGCCTCACCGCCTAGAGTTCTACAAAAAAACCCGGAAATTGATGGAAGGCAATGAGGAGGGAAGGAATGATAGGTAGTCTCACAAACTCGTTTTTTTTGCCCTATTTTCCTTCTCAACATCCTCACTTCCTTTCTCTGCCTTCGCATTCGTCAACACGGAAGGAACGGTTTATTCTACTGCTCTTTATAAGGCATTGTTCACAGTCTGCGGTCCAGCGTTTTCTCTAAAAGCGGCGGGGCCTGGGATCGGCCGTGAATGAAGCTCGCGGGTGGATTCGATTTACGTATCGAATTGCGCGTTTTGGGCGTAAGATGTCTGGCGGGTTGGGGCGAAAGAGTTATGATAAGTAATCAAACGGAACGTTTCGGCCGAAACGCCACTTTTTTTGCGTTTTGGACAAAACGCAGTAGCTCGATCGCGCGTGGGCGTTTTTCGCCAGGCGAAATCGAGTACCTATCTTTTTCAGCCCGACCGCCGAACCGCGGTGGTTCGGCGAAACTTGGGTTGGCGATTCTCCGATCTCAATGACTATTTTTTGTTTTTCGCCCAACCGCCGTTTCGTCAGGGTCGCAAAGCTGTGAACTCAATTGCCTAGCGATGGTCTCGGATTATTCAAATTTTGTGAAAACAAAAGTTACTCGGAAGATACGGTGAATACCAAGCTTTTTTCAGGATCTTGTCCCTGATTTGACGTTATTCTTCGAGCAGTACAGATCTATCCAGCCATGGCTACAGAAGAAGACGACCCTTGCTTTGGGTGAAAAGCAAATGTACCAGAGCATTAAGGAGCGTGATAAGCTGGTTGGTGGCTAGGCTTATTGATAGAAAGACTATAGATTTTCTGCAGATTATCTCATTGTATTTTTTCAAATGTAGGATGGACTCTACGAATGCATCCTGTGTGCATGCTGCTCAGCATCTTGCCCCTCATACTGGTGGAACGCCGACAAGTACCTTGGACCTTCTGTACTGATGCAGGCTTACAGGTACAGTCGCTTTTCCACGAGATTACAGATTTTTTTACAAGAGGCGAAATTTGAAGCCATAAAATATAGAAGAATCAATGGGACGGTTTTGGTAGCTGTGATGGTTCGGAGGAATGGGGCTAGAAGTTTGAGGTTGCGGGTGAGTTTACAGTGAGGAGAACAGCTTGTGCAGAAAGTGAGCTAGCTAGGTGAACAAAGGGTGAACGACATGGAGAGATATAGGGGTGAGTAATACCTCACAGACAGACGAATCTGATACCAATTTAACATACCCGAAGGGCAGGAAGCTTGGTTGACCTGGCCTGGAGCCGATCCGAGATATGATCCGTAAACCACGCGCGTTGTAAACGTTCCACTACCACTACCCTTCCATCTCTGAGCCGTAGTTCGAAAATGTTGCCCTTTCTCTTTTTTCGTGGAAAAGTTTGGAATTTCAGATGGATCATCGACTCCCGCGACGACTACGCTATGGAACGTCTTCATCGCATGCATGACGCCTTTTCTGCGTTCAAATGCCATACCATAATGAACTGCACGAAGACATGCCTCTTTTGGGTGTGTATTTAGTCGTCACATTTTGATATAGTAGATATCGATGCACTGCACGGGGTTGTATACTTTCGCGACGAGCGATTTCGAGTCAGGGCGAACTGAAAACGCTCGTTGTGCCTGACCACGCCTCCACTGCTTTTTTACCACTAAACCGCTGTGAAGCGGGCAAAAGAAGTTCTAGTTGGTGGTACGCGTGCGTCGTATGCTATTCCTTCCTTCGCTGCAGGGAGTTTGGTGCCCGTTTTGTCTCCGCCCTCTGCCCTTATCTCTTTTGCCCTTTGTTCTGCTGCCTTCTTGCTGAAACAGCTTACACGACTTCAGCGTCGAGCGATGCAATGTGCAACAGCATCTGATAGACGCCGGAAGCGCAGCTGGCCGACGGCAATCGATCGATGCCACCCGCTTGTGCTTTGAGAGAGTGTGGGGGAATACGAGAGTAACAGGTTGTGTGAAGGCAGTGCCTACCCTCTTGATATCCTGTTTCTTCCTCCAAAACATGCGACCGACGCCAACCGATATTGCCATTCGTGCGCGCTGGCGTTTCCGTCTTTGCGGTATTGGGAGGCGCGGTTGGCAACTGTCAGACCGTGTCATCGCGAGAGTCTCCAATCGCCGTTACTTCGCGTACGTCATTTAGCGATCATTAGTGCAGCGCAGAGCTACACTCAATGGACTGCGCGGGATGCCTCCCCTTCTTCCACAAGCACAAAACGGTTGGGAGGCGGAGAGGATGTCGGGGGCGGGCGAGAGGAAGAATGGGACGGAGGGAGAGGCCAGCGACAGAGAGATGGGGAGTAATCGACAGAGCTAGCGGCGGCGAGGCCGAGAGAGTCTCTGAAGCAGGGCGATATTTCAAACGTGTTGGGAAGTCTAACATACTAGCGCTGATTCACTTGGCTGCTTTCGCAACGGGACCCAACCAGAGCGGTGAAGTGTTGTTCCGGTGGCTCGGCGCGATTCTCCAACGCGCGAAGTAACTGTTCGAGGTCGCGAAAAAATTCCTGGTCAGAAGTGCAGCCATGCTCGAACGCCGTCGCAGCAAGTCGGTGCCCACTTGTATTTAAGCGCCGGCATTGGACCGACGGTCAAGCGTGACAACATTATATTTTTTGTAACTCTTTAGCTCTTTTGCTCTTTTTTACCAACATATTTCTTTCATAGACAAACACTAATTCTATCTTTTTAGCACTTGAATCCTGCGAAGGCTATTGGAGAGATCAAGTCACTGCTGACCGGCATGAAGACGAAACCAGCACCGGAACCGGCAAAGTTTTAGGCTGAATCGTGTCAGTGTGCTCTGTTGAACAGTCCGATTTTGTCACGTTGTTAATCTTCACCGAGTGCTAACCATAATTGTTTCGTTTCGAATTTGTCAGTTTACATAATTTATTAGTGTGCGTTACTTATAGTAGTCATATGGCTTCATAGAGTAGAATAAATATTTTCGTAAGTTATCGTCCATTAGCGTGAGGGGTTAGCTATCCCTTGGTGAAATAGCAAAGGGGGACGTTGGTGGAGTTATGAAGAAACTGGAGCCCTCGTAGTGAGGGAGGGGGAACATTCAGTCGCGCCTCTACGTCTTTCCTCCACCCTGGACTTAGGCTTGGTGCCCAGACAAGCACAGTTGTCGAACAGTAGTCTGGCAGATAAGGCGAAGCTCTCACCAAGCCTTAGACCTGATTTGGGTAAGGGACAAAAAGGCGCTACCGAAAGACCCCCTTCCTCTACTACATTAGCTCCCTTTGATCTAACCATAAGAAATGGCTGTCACAAGAAACTGTCACGAGAAACTTGACTGTAATTTATGAAGAAGTAGAGATATTTCCTTGCAGTATCATCCTTCTGAGTTTTTATTCAATTCATCATAGGAAATCCCACTGAAACCCGGGTAAGGAGTCGTTGATGGTGGGTGGGTTACGCAAAGCTACGAGTAGCACGGCTGGTGGCCACAGAGCACATCGTTGTTGGGGAATCCCCAATTTGGGGTCGTATTTGGTCGCCAGGAGGGGGGGGTCGTATTTGGGCTGAGAAAAATTTATTTTGATAGTTGATTTTTCTCGCTTCATGGAAAGGAGGGGGTCGTACATTTACGTTTTTGGCGGCGTTGTGGGAGTGGCGGTTGACTTTTGGTGATTTTCCTGTTTCACGTACTATATGCCCCCCCCGCTCGACAGCAAAATTTTTGGTAAAAAGTAGGGAAGTTTTCGGGAAATTTTGGAAAAAAGGGGCAGGAAGTTGGGGAAAATCTGATTGTAGAGGGGGGGTCGTATTGTCTCGCGGCTTTTCCTGTTTCACATGTGCTATTTACCCCCCAGAGGGCGGGCTGGGGGGGGGGGGGTCGTACCAACTCCCAAAAAGGGGGAGTCGTATAGAGTCGACTAAAATCCCCAACCAATGATGTGCCCTGGGTGGCCATTCTATGGTGTATTTCGCTGCGGACGGGATGAGTTTGGCGCGGTACCAAACCGTTCTCCACCAGTTGTTAAAGCGAGCAAGTGATATGACTGTATCATATCGTTCGTATTACTCGTTTTCTACCACTTTTTGTCGCATGCGCGCTTCAACAAGAAGGCAGAGAACGGCTTTGACGGCGTGACACACTCATACTGCCTGACACGCCCAACCGTCCGCAGCGAACTACACTATACTAATCCTTTAAAAGTAAGTCCACGGACAGTCACGGTCCAATGCTGCCGCTGTCGGGGAATGGGGGTTGACTGTGTACTTCCCAGTTGTGGCATCGCGGACAGGGAGCCATCGCGTTGTGATAAATTTGTGCTAAATACGACTCCCTCCTCCGCAGGCGGGTGGTGCTACAACCCACCCTCCACTATCACAAGAAAAAAAACAAAAAAGTAGTAATATCAACCTGGATGCTTGAATTTTGAATGTTCGCGCACATTCAGAGTTTGTGCGCGAGTTTCAAAACGCCTTTTTACTGTTGCGTAGTACTTTTTTTGAACACCCATAACTTTTCTGAGAAGGTAGCTTCTGGAGAGAGGAAAGCAGAGTTGTGAAGCTCTAGGTTTGTAGTCTATGAACTGTGTTTGAGCGCATAAACTCCTCCTTTATTAGGAACTCTCCTCGTTGTGACATTTTAGTGTTAGTGACGAGTTTTCCTGCGAACAGTCGCAACTTTTTTTAACGTGGTTTCTTAAGGAAACAAAGAAGTGCCGGAATCAAGAGGACTTGACTTCTGAAGAGCATCTAACTTTTTTTCATGCCTAATATTCAAAAAAAATCCCCGTTGCGTTGTGACAGGTTTCGGACGATGCGATAAATCTGGCGCAGCCCTTCTGGTTTGTTTGAAGTTTTGAGCAAGCCTCTAGAACAAATTATTTCGTCGGAATTATTGAGAAATATTGGAAAATTGGGACTGTTACTGCCCATCAAAGTTGAAGGCAAGTGATCGGATAATTCGGCAAGACGTATAAGGTGAATACCATACTTTTGCTGACTTCCTACCATTCCAGTACTCTCATTCCGAAATTTTCCAAGAATTTTCCAGTTTCCTCTCAAAATTCTGCCGTCGAGCGAAGCGGGGGGGGGGCAGTCGCCAGTGAACTGCCACGCACTTCGACCATCGAAAATAGTGCAGTCTTGTACGATGCGGGTGGAAGGGCGTGTCTGCTAGGCTACGTTTGGCGTCACGCCAAACACATCTCTCCTTGGCATGCTCCATCATCCGCAGCGAACATGACTGTAGTTGTATATGACTCTGGTTGCGTCGCCAACTAGGGAGAGTATATAGCACATGTGAAACGGGAAAGACCGTGGAAAGTTAAAAAGTGGAAGAAATTTTTGGAAGAAATTTTTGAGGTCATTTACACTCCTCCCCTCCCCATTTCTAAGGCGACGAGCAAATACGCCCCCCCCCTAACTCAGTGGGAGTCTCTCAATAATATAAGTAGCATGCGTGAGACAGTAAAAATCAAGTATCAGAAAAACTTTGCTCAGACCGATTATGATATCCACCCACAACGACCAATGCTCCTCTTCCCGCTCGGGTTCCTCTTGCCACACAGACCATACTGCATTTGAAATTTTGCTAGTTCTGAGTAGAAGGAAAATGCGTGCCTCATCGCAAAAAGGGATTCATCGGCTGCAAAGAGTATCCTTTTCTATCCTTATAATGTTTCCCTTATCGGGTGGTCCTCAGGACTCCTTCACACTTGCCTATACCATCCCAGTTGCTCCTCTCGTGCCTTTAGCTGGGATGGGAGCCGTTTGTGTGACCCCATTGGGGTCCTCGTTTCTGGCTCTGTCTAGACTTGTCCCAGGCCGACATCTTAATCACCTCAATTAGCTGAGTAAGAGCTGCTTTCATTATTCCTGCACAGGGGCCGGCACTCGCTCCTCACCATTGCCTGGTCCACCTTGCCCTTGAGCGTTCATTTCTCGTTCTGGAGCACCGACGGTCGCAGAGGATGCCTGTGGACTTCCTCCATATCATACAAGCCGCGTGTATTCGAGCTTTTACTGCCTGGCCTACTAACGTCAGCGATATCAGTTCCCAGATACCGGAATTTCTTCACCCTCTCGATTTTCTCTTCGTGGCGGTCCACGATGGGTTCAGTGCACTCTACGGGACACAGGTACTGCTGGGTAGGGTAACAAGGTTATAATTTTGCTCGCAGCCTCCCACTATAAATAAACTGCTTCTTCTGTCTCTGTCTGTTCTGTTTGGCTATCTATCCGTCAGTCAGTCAGTCTGTCTGTCCGTCCGTCGTCTGACTGACTGACTGACTAACTGACTATTATGTTTGTTTGTCTGTCTGCCGGTCTGTCTTGCTCTTTCTTTCTTTCTTTCTCTCTGAACTTTATTTTCTAGTATTAATACCCTTTTATGGATCAGCTTGCATATGAGCTACATCGATTCTCGAGTGCTTTACTTTTTAACTATGCCACCCCCCCCACCCTTCACCCCTAAAGTTGGTCGCTATAGTAAATTGACCTTTTTAGCTAGTCCGTTCGACGACCTGTAAGGTCAAAAACAGTCGTAATTGCTACGCTGTAGGGAAAATACGATCAACAGTGTAACATGTACTTGCAATTGCACACAGTAACTCAAAAGAAATGTGATTAATGTGGCGAATGAACGAGTCGCAGCTGATGAGACGCGACGCTGAAATCGCGACAGACTTTGCACTTTCAAGTCATTGTTCAAGAGATCGTTTTTCGTCGTTTATCGGAGAGAAAAAAACGATGATCACACATGGAGGTGAGGACGGTTTCGCACTATCCCATTTTTACGTCGGAAATGGGAACTGGGTACAGATGATGGAGGCATGAAGGACAGTTGGCTGACGACAGCAGCAAGCAGAGCGAATGCTGGCAGCTTTCATTTCAGCGCATGAAAGAGACGGTCTGTGGCTGAATCTTGCGAGCAGGGTACAGCATCGTGATGTGTGAAATGGTAGTGTAGTAGGTACGACCCCCCTCCGAGAGAGGGTGGGGGTGGTACCTATTACACTACCATTACGACCCCCCCTGAATGAGGGTCTCGGTACGACCTCTCCCTTCCCCAACACACCTCCCTACCAATTTCCCACATTTTCCATTCCAGTTTTTCACACTTTCAGCCCAAAGATTTTCCGTCGAGTGGGATGGGGGAAAGGGGTAGAAGGGCCATATAAAACATATGAAACAGGCAAAATCACGCTAAAAGTCAACAACCCAGAAAGTGTTTTTCCCAACGCAGCAAATTTCTCTTCGCCCAAAAACTGAATACGACTC